TTTTTTTTTAAAAAAAAACCTTCTTTGCCGAGTGCCTAACAGCAGGCACTCGGCAAAGAAGGACGTGGCCGAACACCGTTACGCGGGGCAGCCTATGCTGAGTGCCGTGATTTTGCTGAGAGCCTGGCACTCGGCAAAGAAGTCCTTTGCCGAGAGCCTTTTTTTGCCGAGTGCCTCTTTGCCGAGTGCAATTCTTTGCCGAATGCCCGATTTTTTACACTCGGCAAAGATCCCGTTTCTTGTAGTGATGTTGGTTTACGATCACTAGTGAATGTAGGTATATATAACTCGTTTCGAAATTGGTTGCAAGGAATAGACCCAAATATACGTCCCCAAATGAGAGCAAATGCAGCTTGTTGGTCTGTTTGTTTGAGTAGAAATGATGTTGAATTAATCTAATGTCGTCTTTCATTGAAAACATAGCGCCGTTAACTCCTAAAAAAATACTAGCATCCATGCCAAATCAAGAACTTGAACCCGGATGAATAGGTATGACCACAAGGAACCCAACAACTGATCTATGAAGATCAGTTGGCCGATAGATTTATCACATACTGTTCCGTTTGTTGAGTCTACTCCACCCAAACCTTAACAATAAATGGTTTTGAGTATACAGCCGAATTTAATAATGGATGGTTTAAGGGCGTCCTCAATGATAAATAGCTAGCTAGGTGAGATTTAGAAATAATAAAAAATAAACACTTTAGTGTAAGGTGAGATTTAGAAATAATAAAAAATAAACACTTTAGTGTAAGGTGAGATTTAGAAATAATAAAAAATAAACACTTTAGTGCAAGGGTTGTTTCTAAGAAATCGTACTAGACTGGCTATTTAAAAATCTCAGCTATTCGATCTCTCGACGATAGGCAATAGAATTCCTCCTATACACTACCTATTTGAAAATCATCGGAGACAGGCTAAGTATATACTCCGTACATCTCGTTCAGAGGACGACATGAGCGTGTTCGAATAAGTCAAAATAAGCCAATGCACTGCAGCCGCGCACACAGTAACTTGTGTGAGTGCATCTACAATACCTTTTGCAGCAACCGCCCTTGCTTTAGTAGAAGCGAATCCTTTTTTTCTTCTTCTAAAAAGAGACTTATCATCGGTTCTCTGGTCCGAGCAAATCGCACGTATCATGAAAAAGTAGTGTTGCCACTCAGGGCATCTCCAGCGGTAGCAGAAAACTTTAACCCTAGAAACTAGTTATTGGAGAAGATACAAAACGTCTTTTGTGATTTTGAATGTCTTCTCTCCAACAGAACGAGAAAATCCAATCCCCAATAAAAAAAAGAGTGGACTGAGATAGGAGAGGTCTCCCCTTTACTTGAGAGGTGGGAGGCTATGATTTAAGAAACTGACAAAAACTTTTTTCTCATTGGTGTTAGGTTTGAGAAACTGAAGTTAAAGATCTCCAACATAACCGTTTTTTCTCACCAGTGTTAGGAAAGGGGAGTGCCGGAGATGCTCGTACCAGTCCGTTCGATGTTTACAGCTGCTGCTTTTTCGTCGAGAATTTGTTACTGATACGGAATAATGTGAACCGTCATCTGACTCATCTCCATCGTAGGGGGTTAGCAGTAGGACTTTCTTACGCATGTGACAAACGAAGCTGACAAACGTTCTGCGTGTGTGAGATGTAACAAAACTAGCTAGACCACATGGCACGGCACATCCAGCCCAACTAGCTAGTCGATCGTCGACGACATGCCCACACGTTCTATATATTGCGACTCGCTAAACCATGGCACGGCGCACCGGTCACAACTCACAAGTTCACACTTCGTTCACAGCACGTTCACCACTGAGCAGCAGCTAGCGCCATGGAGAGCGTCACCATGCCACGAGGTTTCGCCGCGCCTCGTCGCGCGCCATGCCGTAGCTAGCCTCCAGACGCCAGGTGCAAGGCTACCGGCGGCGCTGACCGCCGCGACACGTGCTCCTCGGCCTCGGCGGGGCGGTTGCGGCCGGCCGGCCTCCTCGATAACTCCTTGCTAAATTTGCTACATTTTGAGTTTTCTCGATAAATTTGGCTGTTGTAATTAACCTTTTAAGCCGTGGCATCTTATGGCTGCCAAGCAAAACAAGCGCTAAAGATCTTGTAGCAGGTAGCTACGTTCGTTTTGGTTCGACAGCGTCCGATCCCTTTTGCTTTACATATATACCCTGTACTGCAAATGATCTCTCCATCTCAACCAAGATATAGAAACCTCTCATCTGTTCTTCTTCCTTCTCCGGTCCGAGCTAACCGCACGTACAGATCAGGAAAATTAAAGGTAGTGTTCACCCATCGGTCCGTGATTCTCGCATCTGGATATTTTACAAAACTGCTAGCTTTTTCATTAGGAACGAACAGATTGAATGCTAATAGTAGCACTTTATGCGCTCACAAATTGTTGCGTGTGTGTAATTAGATTCGGTAGATAGATAAGCAAGCCAGATCTGGTGTGTATTCGGTGAACTTCGCGTCAAACAGCACGCAGGCCCATACGTACTACTCAACCAGCATGTCACGACCGGTTCCGTTTCGTTACCAAGTTTCGTTCGGTTTAAATAAAGCATATATATATATGCACCGTTTCTTCATATATCGTCATTACTTTCTCTGGGTCCTGGAGGAGAAGACACGACACATTGCATCACTAGTCGGATGCTCAGATCATATGTGCCCACAGCACGCAGGCCCATACGTACCACTCAACCAGCATGTTACGACCGGCTCCGTTTCGTTACCAAGTTTCGTTCGGTTTAAATAAAGCATATATATGTGCACCGTTTCTTCATATATCGCCATTACTTTCTCTGGGTCCTGGAGGAGAAGACACGACACATTGCATCACTTGCATATAACAAACAGTCAAACCAAACAGGCATGCATCCAGTAGTCACATACTCAGATCATATGTACCCACGATGTATATATTACTATGTCTAGATATATATACTCCTATATTTCAAATTATGAGACATTTTAGCTTTTCTAATATATAATTTTGGTTATGCGGGCGAGCCGATAGCTCGATTTGTAAAGCGCCCCGTCGTGGGATGCTCCAGATCAGGAGTTCGGCTCTTCACCTCTGCATGCGCAGGTTTGCTCATTGTAAAAAAATGTCCTCGTCCGTCACACGCCAAAGCACATGTCTAAGGTCCGTCCCAGTCTCACGTGGGTTGCGGTGCCGCTGTGTATGGGTGGGGCAGGGGTTCGGAATTTTCTCGACCTACGTGAAAAGGTATTCTTCTTAAGCACAATGCCTGACCTGCGTGAAAATGTCTTCTTTTTAAGCACAATGTCCGATGTTGACACTCAAAAGTGTCCCAACGTAAAATATGGGCATAACCACATGTTCCTGACATCCCAGAGGTGTTGGAAAATAGTTGGCGCAACAAACAATGAAGGAATCAAACAAAAAAAAGAAGAAAGTGGTGCCTACCCTAGCAGCTTAGCCAACTTGCATAGCCGGCAGAGCCGGTTCTTCGTGCCCTAATCAGCTTAGCTGACTGCCTAAGTTGGCTAAGCCGACTCCCCCTCTATGCCAGCCGAGCCACAATGCTCGAGCCCATGGAAATCGGCTTAGCCGACTCCCAAGTTGGCTCAGCCGACTTTGACTGCTATTCCGAGTCATTTTGGTTTCCAAATCGGTTTTAGACCTATTTTGAACGTGGGAAACTTGGAGAACGCACTTTGGACTTTGTTTTTTATTTTTCGGGGATAAGACTGTCCCCCTATATATATATATATATATATATATATATATATATATATGTGTGTGTGTGTGTGTGTGTGTGTGTGACAGGATCACGACCGTTTGAGGATCTCAACTTTCAATCGTCAAAATAGATCTACTATAAGCCTTTTACCCTCTTTTTTCTCTACCTTGCTATTCGTCACGTCTCCCGGCGAAATTTGGCAGCGTTCTAGGTGGCCTTGTTGGTCTTAGGACACCCTCCACGTGCTCCTCCCCGGCGGGTCTTCCCGGGAGGTGTTCGGGAGTCTAACAGGCGAAAAACGGACTCAACATTGGCATAACCGGTCTCTAGATCGGTCTGGTCGGTTCGCTGCGTTTTTGCTGTGATCAAGGTCTTGCGTCGACCGAAGACGTGCTAGCCTTTGCTAGTGTGCGATCCGGAACACCATCCGGTGTCAACAATGGGGGTCTGTCATAACTCACGTAGGTTTTTTGGGGGGGGGGCGCATGCACTTAGATATATTATGTTGAGGTACATAGTAGAAACAGTATACTTAGAAATAGTCTAAAATATCTTATAATTTAGAATGGATGGGGTATTAAAAGCAATATATAAAAAAAATGTTAAAACAAGTTATAATTAGAACGAAGGGATATAAAAACTATTCTACCATTCCGTGACTCGCTTGTCAATCGATGTTTATAGCTGCTGTTTTTTCGTCTGGAATTAATGAACTGATAGCGAATGTGAACTGTGTGATCTCCATCCTAGGGGGGGTTAGCAGTAGAACTTTCGTGCGCGTGTGACAAACGAAGCTGACAGCATTCTGCGTGGGAGACGTGGTACAGAGAGTATAGATAGCTAAGCATGTCACGATTTGGTGAATTTCGCGTCAAACGGCCCATACTTAGCTATCTACACATTCTGCGTGTGAGATGTGGTACATAGAGTAGTATAGAATAGCTACGCGGGTCTATACCAGCAGCATGTTACGACGATCGCCGTTCGGTTGCCCCGGTTTTAAAGCATGTGCCGTGCATCGCAAAATACAGTCACTTTCTCTTGGTCTACGAGGAACTATATAGACGTAGCACGCATTTTGTTGGCAACGAACCAAACCTCGACACGACACATGTAGCAGTAGCACGTAACAAACAGCCAAATCAAACATCCAGCACAACTAGCCGATCGATCATATGGCCACACGTTCTATATATAGCCACTCGCTAAACCATGGCACGGCACCGGTCGCAGCTCACAAGTGCACACTTCGTTCACAGCACGTTCACCACTGAGCATCAGCAAGCGCCATGTTGAGCGCCACCATGCCACGAGGTTTCGCCGCGCCTCGCGCGCCATGCCGCAGCCTCCAGACGCTCAGGTGCAAGGCTACCGGCGGCGCCGACCGCCGCGACGTGCTCCTCGGCCTCGGCGGGGCGGCGGCGGCCGGCCTCCTCAGGTCGTCGTCGTCGAGCGGCGGCGGTGCGCTCGCGGCGCCCATCCAGGCGCCGGACCTCCGGAACTGCCACCCGCCCGACCTCCCCGACACGGTGAGCGACGTCAACTGCTGCCCGCCGTGCGCGGGGACGGCGATCGTCGACTTCACGCTGCCGCCGCCGCTCGGGCTCCGCGTGCGCCCGGTCGCGCACCTGGTGAACAAGGAGTACCTGGCCAAGTACGAGAAGGCCGTGGCGCTGATGAAGGAGCTGCCGGACGACGACCCGCGCAGCTTCGCGCACCAGTGGCGCGTGCACTGCGCCTACTGCGACGGCGCGTTCGACCAGGTCGGGTTCCCGGACCTGGAGATCCAGATACACAACTGCTGGCTCTTCTTCCCATGGCACAGGTGACCGTCGGATCCATGCATGCTGGCGTACGTGTAGGGTGTCATGTGGACTTGCTCGTGTAGTATGCTTTAGCGATTAATAACGTGCAACTTTTGTGCTGAACGACGCCTGGACCTGAACGTCGTTGCGCTGCTTAATTAGTTTCACAAATTGGACAACGCGTGCAGGTTCTACCTGTACTTCCACGAAAGGATTCTTGGGAAGCTCATCGGCGACGACAAGTTTGCGCTGCCGTTCTGGAACTGGGACGCGCCCGGCGGCATGTCGCTGCCGGCGATCTACGCCAACAAGTCCTCCCCGCTGTACGACGAAAGGCGTGACCCTGCACACCAGCCACCATTCACGCTGGACCTCGACTACGACGGGACCGAGCCAACCATACCAAGACCTCAGCAGATCGATCATAACCTAATGATCATGTACCGTCAGGTCAGTGTTCGTATAGCTAGCTAGCTGTCTATTTGTACACAATATTACACCCTCAGGTGTCAGGTTTGCTTGTGTAACACTGCACTGACATAATTGAACACTCAGTTCTTGGACGTAATCGAACACTTGATCTTATAAAACTCTAAAATTGAACACTTGATCTCTGAGCCAGATGATCTCCGGTGCCAAGAAGAAGGAACTCTTCTTTGGGCTGCCTTACCACCAGGGCGACCAGCCAGACCCAGGCGCAGGCAGCGTCGAGCTCATCCCGCACAACACAGTACACTTCTGGAGCGGCGATCCGAGGCAGCCCAACGGCGAGGACATGGCCAACTTCTACTCCGCCGCGCGCGATCCGCTCTTCTTCGCGCACCACGGCAACATCGACCGCCTGTGGTCGGTCTGGAACGGCCTCCACCCGGGCAACACCAACTTCACCGACCCCGACTGGCTGGACGCCAGCTTCCTGTTCTACGACGAGGAGGCCCGCCTCGTGCGCGTCCGCGTTCGGGACTGCCTCGACACCGCTGCCCTCGGCTACACCTACCAGGACGTCGCCCTGCCGTGGCTGAACGCCAAGCCGACCACGGAGGCCGGGTCTCCGGCGCCCGCCGCGGGCTCGCTCCCGGCGACCCTGAACCAGACCGTGAGGGTGGCCGTGACGCGGCCCAGGACCTCGAGGACCCGCCAGGAGAAGAACGCGGAGGAGGAGGTGCTGGTCGTCGAGGGGATCGAGGTCGCCGACCACTTCAGCAGGTTCGTCAAGTTCGACGTCTTCGTGAACGAGTCCCAGAGCGGGGGCGGCGCCACGGCGGCGGCGGTGCAGTGTGCCGGGAGCGTGGCGATGACGCCGCACTTGGTCCGGCCCGGGAAGGGCAGGGGCTCCGTGAAGACTGCGGCGAGGTTCGGCATCTGCGACCTGCTCGACGACATCGGTGCTGACGGGGACAACACGATCGCCGTGTCGCTGGTGCCGAGGTGCGCCGGGGACATGGTCACTGTCGGTGGCGTCAGGATCGAGTATGTTAAGTGAGGTCCTTCTACTACCTCCTACCGTCCTACGAGTAAATGTGCTAGCGCCTAGCGACATCTGCTCTACGAGTATATATGAGGTATATATACATGAATAACTGTGTGATGTAGGACAGTAGGAGTATACCTACGTGTATCGACGACTCCGGTATTGTGTTTGTGCCGCCATGATTTATATATATCTAATATGGGTCAATCGAAGGGCGGGCCTGGTACAAGTGGTAGGGTCTTATCGTCTGTGATTGGAAGGTTTCGGATTCAAGTCACGGTCTCCTTGCATTGCACAGACGAGGGTAAGACTTGTTACTGACACCCTTCTCTAGACCCGTAGAGCAGGAGCTCACTGCACTAGTACGCCCCCTTTTAATATGGGTCAATCGACATCAATGATTATGTTTAATATAAATAAGGGTATTAGTAATTAGTAGTGTAAGGGTGGACATCTTATAAGGGCATTCGTAATTAGTATGTGTAAGGGTGGACATTAAGGCAGGCAGGCAAGGGCAAACATGATATGTCATATGTGGGTGCAAAGTGCCATTTTGATTCCTCAAAAGTTGGCAGAATCGCATGAAAATAAACGAAACCAAATTACGACATACAAAACTCATCCATTAACCAACTCAAGGAAATGCTCTAGAGAAATTACGACATACGAAATTCATCCATTCTCCAATATACCCATTCGAAAGAGTGGCGGGCACAAAAAAACACCAGCGACATACAACTATTCTCGTTCAAACGAAATAACCGGCACAAGTTCAGAACGCAGGATATGCGCCATTACCACGGTACTATTTTCGACCATATACTGGTAAACACTTCAGTGAATATATGCCAGGCTAGTAGGTAGAAGCAAAATCTAGTTCTTCTTTTCTGACCACTCAACTCGGAGGATAAGGTTATCATAACCATACCCATTGAGCTTGCTGATAGCCTTCTCACCATCCTCTCTACGAACGAAGTTGACAAAGCCAAAGCCCCTGCTTGATCCAGTCCTCCTATCCTTTGCGACGAAGGCACGGTTTACAGGGCCAAACTTGGAGAAGAGCTCAAAGAGGTCGAACTCACTGGTGTCCTCTGAGAGATTGTTCACACGGATAGAGTTCTCGTCATTCCTTCTCTTCATCATACTTGCTCCACTTGTATCAGCACCTTCTTTCTTGTTTGGAGGAACATATGCTCGCACACCAGTACCACGTGGTGCTGCCAGGCCATCAGCAGTAGAAGGAACATCGACAAGACCTTGTGTCTGTGCAGGAAGGTCCTTGTAGGGGCACTTCGACGTCCAATGATCACCCTTTTTCCCACATGTTCGGCAAACCATGAGAATGCCACTTGTTGTACTTGCCATATCCAGTGGATCATCAGAAGTACACGGTTCCTCGGCCCTTTTCCCTACAATTGAGAGGACTAACAAATTATGGCACGAAGATACAAATTAAAGCAACACCCAAAAAAGTTTCGAGGCTTCAGAAACAAGGGGCAGGAGATGTATGTGTTATAAAGAAAAGGAAGATAAACTGTCAGCTACATTATAAAGATTAGTGTCATGGCTGCAGAATATCTCTATATCCACAAGATGTAAACTATTGAGCAGACAGTGACATATGCTTTACCAGGTTTGGTTTTGATCAACAGTAATTGTGTTAAAACTTGTGAATGTCAGGAAACGAACTAGTAACGTAGTAGTAAAGTAATCGTGTTAGATTATATTGAGTTTGAATTCAGGAGGACATAATTCTACAGTGGAATTAGATCACGGGAAAATATTAAGTGCAAACCATGCATCTACTCAGTGGAATCATGAAAACACTTTACAAAAACATACTTAGAAGTTTTCAAAAAAAATCAAACTATGCACATCTATAGTGCATCTATGGATGCACATTATCGCAAAAATAGAGATCCAAACTCAATTTAGAAAAATTCATAGGGAAATGACAAATTCCAAGGGAATTTTGTCCTCTAGTGCATATGCACATGAAATTTGTTATTTTCATGTGAATTTTTACAAGACGAGTTCGAATCTCAAATTCTATGACAATGTATATCTATATATGCACTATGGATGTGAATAGTTTCCTAGTATGTTTTTCTAAAGGGTTTTCACGATTCTACTGATTAGAGCGTTTGCACTGAATATTTTGCAATGGGTCACCTACAGTTGATGAAACAACTGCAGTAAATCTCCACAGTTGGACCATGCTAATTTTGGGTGTTTGTAATGCAATCACTGATTGCACCTGAAGCAATTGGAATGATAATGAACTATGAAGGCATGTTCCTTCCATGGTAGATGTTCATAACTAACAACAAGATCACCATTGAATCATAGTATGGGATTTGAGTCTACATGGTGAAACTGAAACATGTGCCCACATATGTCTATGAAGGGTGAGCCACCTCCTTTTAACATACTAAAGATTATTTCTATTAGCTAGACTTGAATACTACATTATCAAGATGACTAGGGAGAATGAAGAGATTAAAATTCACAACGCAAATTTTAGTCCATTTTTAACAGTCATAGTATCATTAATTGCATCAGAAGCAACTGGAATGATAGCAACTACATGTTCCTTCCATAGTACTCCAACTGGAAAGCATGCATGACCTACAGACTTTGTACTAACATTGTTAACAGATGAATCAATATTGCAGAACAGATGTAAGGTAGAATGAGACATAATATGCTTAGCAATGAAAATTATGCATTGTATGCAAGTACTGTAATTCAATCAAGGAAAAGAGATTGATTTATGTACACACTATCATTAATTAGACTGGAATAATACATAATTCAGGGAGAATGATGAGTCATAAGAAGATGAGGACGCGAATTTTGGCTGTTTGGTAACACTAACTACATTGATTCCATTTTGAGCACTTGGAAAGAGAATTCTTCCCAGGTAGATGGCAGTTTTGATGTTCTATAAGACTATAATTCGTGTACACAAAACATGTCCATGCTTATGGTTGACAGATAAATCAATCAACGCAGAGCAGATCTTAGGCCGGAAGAAACGCATGGGGGGTGAGACCGTGAGAACAGAAGAGCTACTACCTCGGGCTCGTGGGCGCTCGAGGAGGACCTCTTCGGTGGAGACCATGGTGAGGCGCGAGCCGGCGTCGTCCCCCTTGACGGCGTCGCCGAACTTGGCCCACGAGCGGCGCTCGACGGCACTCCTGGAGAGACGCGCGCGCGCGAGGCTGCAGGTGCGGGTGGTGGTGACGACCTTGACCTTGTTGCCCTCGTCGTCGAAGCGGTACTCGATCACCCTCCGGAGGCCGCCCGCGTCGGGCCCGACGACGACCCGCGGCGGGAGGAGGAGGCCGAGGTCGCCTGCGCCGTCATCGTCAGCGAGCTCGCCCCACTGGTACTTGCGCTGCTGCGTCGCCACCGCCGCCGCCATGGCTCTGCCCCAGACGCTCGCCGCGCGCGTTAGGGCTTTGGTCGGTGCGGCGGTGAGAAGGGTAGAAGGGGGGAGGAGAGCTTGGGTTCGGTTGCGATCGCAGGCAGCGTAGCCCGTAGTGGTTTCCTTCCGGGTAGAAGAGATGGGCTATATGGCGTATGGCTGGCTCAAGTGGGCTTTCCCTAGGAGGATGCAGGCTGGGCTTATCAACAGGGAACAAGGGTGTATCCAAGCGATATTGGAAGGCTTCGGCCCAGCTTCAAAATGGGTGAGGAGGAACTGATGATGAGCGCTGCCTTTGCTAGAAAAACTGATGATGAACGCTGCTTCTCATCATTCCCAGCAGAGCAGAATACACCAAGATAGAAAACGGTTGGAGGAAACTACTTAATCTGTTCCAAATTACGAGACATTTTGGCTTTTCTATATATATATTGCTTGAGCTATATATTTAGACATAGTGTATGTATATATATCTATGTACATAGCAAATGCAACGTATCTATAAAAGTCAAAACGTCTTATAACGTGGAACAGATAAAGTACTGTACTAGAAAGACCCAGTTACACTGATCCACGCTTGCTGGGGTTCGTGAGAGACAAAGCTCTATATCGAGCACGAGCAGTCTATATATATATATATATATATATATACACACACACACACGTACGGTCCTAGCGAGAAATGGCCCGGGTACGTACGTTGCACATACGTTAGCTTTTGAGAGTAAACAAATGGTCGTGCCATTTGACTGTTGTAGTCTTTTAACGAAACTTTGGTTCACATCGATCGATCAGCACTTGTGTCGTCGTACAAATTATTTGACAGTCTCTCATCACCATGCATGCAAGTCAGTCGCTAACCAATAGTTGCCGAGGTTTCCGACGTGACATGATTCTTCCTGTCCCGGCCTCTCGCGCCCGCTAGCTCTCTTTTGTGCTAAGGCCATCTTAGCATAGCTCACAAAGCTGCTTCTCTATCGAATCTAGTACAAGCTCTGCCAAACAGTTTTACAACAAAGGTGATTCTCTGCTGATTTTATGAAGTGATTCTTTGTAGTGAACTAAGAGCTTCTCCTTATTCTGTGGAGTGATTCTCTGTCGTTGTTTTAAAAGTTCATATGCTAAGGAATCAAAGAGAATTATTTTCGGTGGCATAATTACTTCTCTAAGAGAATCAGCTTTCATAGATAATCAGAATCAGATAAAGCTCTGCCAAACATACCCAACACGCGACGACTTCTCCCATCTCTTGTGATCGGCTATATAATGCGATAAGTATAAACCAAAGCGAGCCGAACGTGGCATTGCGTTCTTGCCCATCGATCGTCGATGCAGATGCAGTGATGCAGGGACTTCGCGTTGCATCAACCATCAATGTAAGACGAGAATATGTCAACTTCGGACATGCTATCAGCAGGTCATCATATACTATCCCCGTAAATACTGGAAAATTCAATGCATGCTGCCGAGCGTGCCGGGGGTACAGTGGCCTACAAACCAATAGTAGTAGTACAGGGCAAGGCTAGGGTTTAGGTTTAGCCGACGAACGATGATGATGGCTCGTTGCCGAGCGAGACTGCGCTGCAGGGTAGTGCTGTTCAAATTTCCACCCCAAAGGCGCCAGCCTTTTTCGCACCGGCTCCTGATCCACGACCCATTGCATGCTGCCATGCAGGCAGGCAAGGCGCGGGTACGACGGTGTTGGAATGAGAGGGAAGGCGCATGCACTAGTGAAGATAGAGAGAGAGGACGTGAAACACGGGACACAACACAATGATGGCGAAGCGATCAGTGGCCCGTCGTGCAGCTGCAGCGCACTGCGCTCGTGCTCGCATCGCATTTGCATGGGGATGGTGGGAGAAGTGACCACTTCTCCTCTCCCTGTCGCCCTCGATCCCATGCGTTGCAGCAGCCTCGTGTTTTATTTCCCGGGGGGCCGGGTGATCGCTAGCTGCTGGCCAGGGCAAATGAAGGGCAACGCGACACAATCGCCCAACCGTGCCGCCGGCGAAACATGCACGACCGGCAAACGGGCGTCGCCAGCTATTAGTACTCGATCGGGCCACACGGGGTAGTGGGCGGGCCAGACTTAGGCATGGTGGCTGGTGCTGGCCCACGCGAACGGAATGGACGCGGCCTGCCTCCCGCACGCTGCTCGAGTTTGCGTCCGACGCAATGATGGCGCGTCGTGCGGCCTAAGGTTGAGCTTTATATTAAAGATGAACAGGGTTACAAGCATCAGCCAACAAATGGCCAACAAACAGCCTGTTCGGGGCCGTATCGTATCGTGGATTATTTACTGCTGGCTAGTTTGGTGTGAGAGAAAAACACTGTTCCCGGCTGAAAATTTATGATCGTTTACGAGCAAGCGAACATGCTGAAAGTCTGGCGCTCTCTTGATCCACACCTTGGAACAGAGATGTTTACATGTTGGTCTAATTCATGGGCAACCCTGTTACACAATGTATTACAGTGGATAAACTCAACCCCTCTAAGCTCATCGCCGAGCACATCTGAAAGGATTCCATTCCACTGTGCTTTACGTGAACAGCTCCGAGATACTCAATCCATTCCAAATTGGAAGACGTTTGACTTTTTTGACACCAAGTTTGACCACTCGTCTTATTTAAAAATTTGTGTAAAATATCATTTCTTTCGTCGTGGTTTGGTTTATTAATAAAAATTCTTCAAGAATGACTTAAATTTGACTATATTTGCATAATTTTTTTTGAATAAGATGAGTGGTTAAACTTGGGGCAAAAAAAGTCAAACGTCTTTTACAATTTAGGATGGAGGGAGTAACTTTGATATGATTCGTAGAGGGGTCGCCACGCCTACGAAATTATACGGCACATTGATTACAAACCATTTTACTGTGTCTCAATATATGATGCTAGTATGCAGTACATTAAATGAACACACTTGTACACCAAATATATACATATATATATATATATATACAGTAATATGAATATGAATATATGATACTAGTATGCTAGTGTCTCAATTCTCTTTGTTTGTTTGGATGTAAACTATTTTTCTTTTTCGTTAACTCACCTACCCAGCAACCCTGCCCCTGTGTCAACCGCTAGGCAAGGGCGGATCCAAATGGGAGGCTGCCGGGGCTACAACCCCTTCTAGTGAGCCTGATTTCTTTATTAGACCATGGTTACTTAGCCTCAAATCATTATTAATCTTTAGCTCTAACCTTAAATCTTCATTATTTAGCCTCCTTTGTTCTCATCCTGTATCCACCACTGCCATTAGGTATGATGTGGATGTCCTAGATTTACTGAGATATGAGACATCTATAGGTGCTTTTAATTTTGGAATGCATGATCTTGTCCCCACCCCCCCATGAGATAAACTAATCCCGTCTCTTATTTATGTATTTATTTATTTTAGAAAAACCCCGTCTCTTATTTAAAAGAAAATCCCGTCTCTTGTTTGAAATGCTTTCGTTCTCTGTTCAACCTAATAGCCGTTGGCTGACACAATAAATAGGTAAAACCAAGTTTGCTAAGCACCGCATGAATGAATATGTAAAAGGATCTCATCAAATTGGGTGCACAGCCGGCGAGTGCGCCCAATGTTGGCAATGTAGCTAGCACCATCCAGACGCAACAGTTTCAATACATGCATAGCCGTGCTTCTTGCTACGTGAAAAACGGTTTGTAGCAACGGAATAAATTTTTTATAGGGGCGGCTCGTGATGGAGCCGCCTCTACAGTGCGTGCTCGGGAGCCCAGAGACCAGCCGCCCCTACAAATGGAACAACAGGGGCGGCTGGTGATGCGAGCCGCTCCTACAAATTGGTCTGATTTGTAGGGGCGGCTCACTCACCAGCCGCCCCCGACGTTTCTATTTGTAGGGTCAGCAATGAAGGTCGCCCGCTTCCTTCCCCTCCCGCTTCCCCTTCCCGACGTTGAGGAAGACGGGCTGGCACCATCCCCTCCTGCTGTCTTCGGCGCGACTTCCCCCGGCGGCGCAGACTTGCCCGGCCCCTGCGACTTCCCGGCGGCACAAACTCCCCCAGCGACCGCGTCCTGTCTCAGTCCGCGACTTTCCGACGAAGCGAGCTGATCTGAACGCCCCCGCTCTCTGCTCCAGGTATGCCTTCGCTATCTGAACTTGGTTGTGCATGCTATTAGTTTCCCAGGAAATCAGATTTGCCATCTACTATAAGATGTGTCCTATTGATACTATCATGTTGACAACAAATACACAATACTGTGACATTTAACTATTCTTGTCATACCAGAATAACAAGACAATCTCCAGTTGCATTTACCTTTTATTTATTGTGATTTTCATGTTACTTGTATTTTGTTGCTCTCCGTTTCTATGTTAATTTGTGCCCCATGTTCCGATATTTACTGCTGCATACACCATCGAACGCGTGATTTTTGTCGAGGGGCTCGAGGCTTTACCGAGGGCCAAATATCGGGCACACTCGGCAAAGATACTCTTTGCCGAGGGCCGCATACAGGAGCCCTCGGCAAAGAACGACCCTCGGTAAGAAGAGGTCTTTGCCGAGGGTACGGCCTCGGCAAAGACAGCCCACCAACAAATCAAATCTTGCCGAGGGCCCAGGCCCCAAGCAAAGATGCCCTCGGCAAAGTAGGCCCGCTTTGGTCACGGCGGCCATTTCCGTCAAACTTTGCCGAGGGCCACCCGTTAGGCCCTCGGCAAAGGTTCGGCAATTTTTTAAGTCTTTGCCGAGGGCCCTGCACTGTGCCCTCGGCAAAGTTTTTTATTTTATTTTTAAAATTCTTTGCCGAGGGCCATGGGTCGAAACCCTCAAAAAGAGCCCTCGGCATTTTTTTTGGTTTTTTAGCCCAGTTTTTTTGTTGTACATTGCTACAATACATTGTTTTGAACTCAATTTTAAAATTTAGGCAAATTTTGATTTTGTTTTGTATATTTCCTTAATTTATTTGATTCTTTGATTTTTTTGAATATGTCAAATTTGAGCTGCATGGTGCATGGAATATTGC